CGTGGCAATATTTGTTTTTAGAAAAGTTTTGAAAATCTACCGAAAAGCCAGTTTTACGAAAATTAGGGTTTTCAGGCTGTTTTCACTTAATATTAAAAAATTTACCATTTGCTCACTAAACATCAGGACGAGTTCAGACCTTCAGAATGTGGAATATTTAAGCTATTCTATATCCTGTTTATAGAAGATCTGAAAATTAATTTTAAAACACTCTAAGGTTTTCTAACAGGGTTTCTGGACCTATTCACAAAAATATGCTTTTCGGTTTCTTCGATCTTATAATCACGTTCAGCGGACAACATTAATCTTATTTTTTTTGATTTTGAACTCGTCCAGATGTTTAGTGACCAAATAGTGAATTTTTTAATATTAGGTGAAAACAGCCTGAAAACCCTAATTTTCGTAAAACTGGCGGTAGATTTTCAAAACTTTTTCTAAAAACAAATATTACCACGAGACTCGACCTGGTCGATTATTCATAGTCCATCCATCCTTAAGGCTATCAAGAGTCACCGGGTGTCAGTCCTGGGACTCGTCGGAAATCCGATACAACGCCCGAACCGCAGAAAATCAAGGTCTCACTTTACTCCCATTTTCTAGTGCACATCCAAAATTTTTGCAAACCAAGAATTGTGCTGAAAGTTGAGAATTTTGAGAAATCAGAAATGTATTGCTACTGTCATACATCATTAAGAAAACGTTTTGGTTATTTTTTGAGTTTCTAAAAGACTGACTTTGCAGAAAACCGGGTCTTCAAGAGTCATGAGCCCGAATCCTTTTATTCCTTTTTACTGTCTCGATGGGGGCTATCGATCTGCATAGGTCTGAAAAAAATCGGAGTTGGGCAGTTGGAAATGTGTCCTCGTTAGTTTCTCACCTTATGATTACATATTATTAGAATTTTTTTGCTATCTATCAGGGTTCTTCAGTTACAGGAGTGTCGATACTTTTGCAGAGTACTGGAGTGTTTCGTTTTTCATAAAAGAAAGATCTCTAGACATATAGCAGAGCCTTAAGAGGGGTTTTTGGAGGTATTTAACTTGTATCTTCTGCAAGCAAAGCAAAAATGCAAAAAGGTCTCTGTAACGCCGTAGAGCTGAATGTCCTGTTTCAAACAGAAAAATAATTGGAGAAAGGCATTCGAGAACTCTTGTTTCAAAACAAAAGGCAATTTTTCGCCCTTTGTTTGATGAATATATCGGAAAGGTGTCATATTCAAGGGCTGAAACGTTTTCCGTGAGCATCTCAAAACATCTGCAACATATCCTAAGGATGGCACAAAATTTCGACATGAAATGTCCAAGATCGTTTTTCGAAGGGGATTTAAAACAATTTAATGCTCCCATTTTTCATTATGTTCTATGTTTATAAAGCAATCCCAAAGAAGAGAATAGTAATTCAATTAGCAAGCTTTTGACTGTAAATTAAATTCAAATGAATATTATTATGTCGTCTTTATTAGAGTTAGATAGCGAGTTTTCGATGATATTTCTATATCGTTCGGTTTGTATGTAAGAACTGTGATGTACTTTTAGTATTTCGTTTCACTCAAAATGAAAAGAAAGAAGAAAGAGAAAATTAATTTTTTGCATGATGAAATGTGTAAGCATTATCAATAAAAAAAAAAATCATTCAGTGAGTATACATGATAATAGCAGGTTTGAGTTTTATTAACCTTTCCGAAACCCACAAAATGATTTTTTTTAACTGGTAGTGTTTACACATTTTATTACACAGAAATTGTTTTCTTTTGTTCTTTTTCTGCATTGTGAATCTCGTGAAATAATAAAAGTAAACCATGCTCCTTGCTACATAAAAACAGCGATTTATTTCTGTATATCGAACATGTAAGATTTTTCTGCTCTTTTTCTTTCTTCTAAAGGATTATGTTAAAGTAGATAAAAATAAACAAATATATGCTACTTTAAAATGGCATCATTATCAACTGATAAAGTACAACAAGATTATAATTTGGAAAATTTTGTTGTGATTTGGCTTGATCAAAATAATACTATAGAAGATGATGTCAAGGATAAATTACAATATTTAGTTAATTTAGTGAAAATATTTGAGAATATTGACGAATGTTCAAACTATATTTCAAATGTACAAACAGAAAAAGTATTTTTAATTATTTCATCAATATCATTAGCTGAACATATTGTTCCAAAAATTCAACATTATTCTCAATTAGAATTAATTTATGTACTCTCGTCCGATTCGAACATTGAAATAATTGCTAAAAAAGTTCATCATGTCTATGATAAAAATTCAATTTTTAGCCAATTGCAAAGTGACATTATACAATCTGCGATTAATTTGAATGAAATAAATATTATTAATGATATTTCGATTGATCGATCGTTACAAAGTTTAAACAAACAAGAAACATCTTTTATGTATTTTCAATTATTAAAAGAGATTTTACTTCGAATGGAATATTCACATGATGCTAAAAATGAAATGCTTTAAATATGTCTTTTACAATATAAAGATAATGAAGTACAGCTGAAAAATATCAAAGAATTTGAGGAAGCATACGAACCATCAAAAGCCATTTGGTGGTATACACGTGATTGTTTTCTTTATCGTATACTTAATAAAGCATTACGCATACAGGACATTGAAATTTTATATCGTTTACGTTTTTTCATTGTTGACCTTCATAAACAATTAGAAAAATTACAACCAGAATTTATTAAGTTATTAAATGATATGGAAAGCACTGTATCATTATATCGTGGACAAATTATGACCAGTGATGAATTCGAAAGCAAATTAAAGCATAATACTGGTAGTCTTTTATCAACGACAAGTTTTTTATCAACAACAATAGACGAAGAATTAGCAAAGGGTTTTGCTATTGCTGATGGATCTTCTTATACAAGTATACTATTTAAAATAACACTTGATACGACTATACATAAAGGTGTATTTGCTTATATTGATCCCACAGTTGGTTCATTTGACTCAGAAAACGAAGTTTTATTTTCAATGGGAACTGTGTTTCGTATTGAAACAGTTAAAAAGTTAGATAATGATATTTGGCAAGTGTCATTGTCAATGACGAACGATGAAGATCAACAGTTGAAAACATTATGTAATCATATGAGAACTGAACTTGGTATAACATGTCATTTAGCTAGTTTAGGTAGACTAATGTTCCATATGGGAAATTATGATTTAGCTGAACAATTTAATCAGCTGTTACTTCGTGATCCAACAATTGTTGATCCACATGATCTCGGTCTGTTACATAACGATTTGGGTTTAATTTATTCAAACCAAGCTGATTATACTAAAGCTTTTGAACATTTTGGGCTTTCTCTTCAAATTAAAAAACGGCATCTTAAGTTCAGTGATCGATCAGTAGTTACTACTTTAAACAACATAGGAATGCTTTATTTTAAAATACAACAATATGAGACCGCATTATCTTATTTCCAACATATACTTCAAATAGATTTACATGCTTCATTACAAAATCTACAAGATATTGGTGCTGATTATAATAACATCGGGGACGTTTATAGAAAACAGCGTAAGTATTCAAAAGCAATAAAAATGTATCAAAAGGCAGTTGATACTGATCAACAGTCACTGCCATTGAATCATCCTATAAGGGCAATTCATTTAAATAATATTGGTTTATATTATTACAATAAAAGTGATTATGTAAAAGCAAATGATTATTATCAAAAGACACTTGATATTCAACTTCAATCCCTTCCAGCAGATCATTCACATCTAGCCACCACGTATAACAACATTGCTGGTGTATGCTATGAACAAGCAAAGTATGATGAATGTATGATTAATTTGAAGAAAGCATCAGAAATAGCAAATAAAAAGTTACCCTCAAATCATCCAGACAGATTAAAATATCAAGAAAATATTGAAATTTTAAAAGGAGAATTAGAATCAATTAAAAGTTATTCTTGACTAATTATTGATACATGTTTTAAATAAATTTTTGTTAGAAAACGGTAACTGTTAGGTGATCATTTTCATAAACTGCATTTAGCTTGCTCACTCAATTTAATAGTGATAACGTTAATTTCCAGTGCCGGGAGACATAGATTAAAGTGAGTTTTCAGATTTTCTAAAACGACTGTGCCCTTCGTTCGCAAATTATTGGTGAGCATTGTATTTTGTGCTACATTGTGTGGCCACCTCTCCCGAATGAAGTATCTATGCAATACAACATAAAAGGTTTTTTTGATCATTCAACATCACAATAAGAATAGCACAGTTGCTTCCATAAGTAATTAAATAAATGTTGATGGATTTAATTTAGTGCTAAAAAACAGTTTATTAAATTTATTTACATAAAACGTTACCTTCGCTTCAACTTCCTAAAATGGGGAGATGTTTTGAAGAGAGAGTATTCACGGAATGATACGGAACAGAGAGAGTATCCACGGTCACAAGTCTATTTGTTTGATAACGATACAAAACAAATGAGACTGCTGAGGCTTTAATTTCCATAGAACTGAAGACAGTTCTTCTACAATAGTTCTTCTATCATGTTACCATAAAGTGTTCGAGAATATAGCTTTCACTAAAGGAGTTGTGATTCCTTCACAGAACGAGTAGGCCGTTGTATCTTTTTGTACTTATTGGTCTTCTTTGCGTAACTTAAATAATACTGTTCTCATGTATCAATAACTTTACTACACATACTGGTATATGTGCTTGACTCTTTCGAGAAGAAAAGGAAACAAGAAAACGAACGTATAACAGCAATTACCAGCTTGAAAAATGCTTTGTGAATTTCTTTTACTATTTCACTGCGGGAATCTCAGCTATCCTTTTCTTTTCCTATGACTGACACCAATAATTTACACTGCAATGATAAGTATTCATTACTGCTGAACGAACTGTATCAGATCCTTATCGAATTGATTTTTATTCCCATAATTTCAAGTAGACTTCAAAGTCCATGACCAGGCGGTTATGGATCGGGGTTCATAATCGAGATGCGTAATCGGAACAGAGAGGTTATAGCACTTCAAGTTAACGCCATAAAGTCTATCACTATACGAACTATCCGCAATTAATTTTATAAACAGAAGTAATGATTTAGAAGCAATCAACAGGTTTTTTCCGCTTCTCTCTCGCACAAAAACTATTTAAACAAAATCAAACTACGCTTGTTATAGAAGCTTTAAAGTCAACAGTGTTTCTCTGTCAACGTACAAATTCCCGTTCACTATAGTGGTATATATATATATATGTATATGTTTATACATGTTTTCGTCTTCGACGTTCCTCACAACACTGAGAAGCCAGACTAAGCATGAGCTCATCATTACTCAGACAGCGAAAACTTCAAGAGCTTTTATCCTCGACAGGTTTGATATTATGATCTAATTTCAAACTATGTCGATCATACGTCGATAATGGATTTGTGGCCAAACCGAGATGTATAACAGCTGAAAAGGTCGCTGATTGGATGAAAATATGGAAGGTTGAAAGATGAAAATTTTAGAATCGGAGCAGAACAAAAAGTAGTCAAAGTATGACAATGGCTGATTTTTTCTACTGTTCTGCTAGAGTTTTTCAAAAAAGAATTTCATATCTTTCTAATAAAAGGGTTCCTAAAAAAAGTCTTAAAAAAGTTTAACAATACGATAACTTTGTACGCTGTATCAAACTAGATCGTTAAAAACTAGGTTAAGTTTTGATCTTGTTACATGTATGTCTAATAGAGATCAAGAACGAAGAATATCGTTGAATTTCACTTCTGCTTTTTTCATTCAAACGTGTATGACTTTTGCACGCTTTACCTGTAGATAAATTTTCGTTTTAATGTTATTATTATTAGACAATATTCCAACAGGAAGAGTGGAAATGATGACTAATTCCCACAAACAGTAAGAAGAATAAAATACGAAGATGTTTAGTGTAAGAAATTAAAATTTCAAAAAGTAAGAAAGGTGCGGCTTTTGGATAAACTTGAAAACTGTTGGATACTTAACATGTTTTTGTTCTATGTTTTTAGTGGAAAACAATACAAATGAAGTATCAACAAATGTAAATATTTTTAATATGCTTCTTGATTGATCCTGATTCTAGATAGAATTTATTTTAGGAAATACCTATATCATTTACAACTGAAATCGCAACAACTGTTGGCGATACGAAAACTATATATATTAATAACGCGACAATATTGCTTAGTGCAAGACCTCCTACTGCGTCTTTGCCGATACATGCACAAGCAGACAAAAGTTTCATTGTACTTATTTGCGTTGTCCTCTTTTCTATGATATTCGTTTTGATTATTGGAATTGTGGCATATGGAAGAAAAAACCGATTGAACCCAGTATATCCAAATGTTAATAACAGACCGACAAATGATGCAGTAAGATCTCATGTAGCCGAAACCGGACGAAAACGGGCGGCTAACCACGGTTATTTTAAGAACCCACGATCACCCGCGGTTATTTCAACTGAAACCATGGCAACACAGCAAAAAAACTGACGGTTAACCTCACAATTAACCAGTAAAACGTTCGCCACGGTTAACCGTTGGTTCTTAAAATAACCGTGGTTAAGTGCCAGTTTCGACAACATGGGATAGTTTTAATTATAATTATCCGTCTATCTGTCTTTTTTCATTCCAGTTGCAGGAACTATCTGTATATGCAAGACCATATGAAGAAATTCCTATATCTATCATTACAACCAATGAGACTCGTCAGTAGTTTATTATCAAGTATGAAAAAATTAGCAAAAAAGATTCAATATTTTCATTTTTGCATATATTTTATCTGTTACATATCCCCTCAGCCAAAATAATTCGAACACACTTTTTTTATAATTAATCTTCCATACAAAGTAAGTTAACTTACTTTGTACGGAGGATTAATTATAAAAAAGATGTGTTCGAATGATTTTGACCAGAGGAATATGTGCTTTGTAAAAGCAGTGTTTTTTTTTATCTGCTGTACTCATGATGTCACCATTATTTTTCCTTATATTAGCATTTTTCCTTTTACAGTCTAGTTTTTTCCGATTGGTCAAAAACAGACTCTAATGAAAATAACTATATCGGAGTTTTTTAGGCAGCATTTTGAAAGTTGCTATTAGCATTATAAATGTTTCTTTATAAAAGAAAGCTAATGCATGAAGGAAAAAGACGGGAAGAATGCGAATAGCTGAGATCAACAAAGAAGAAGGGCCCTAGTGAATGTACTGAGCTAAGGGTACCTGAAAAAGTACCCTGCTACCAGTATGTCACAGGAACTTTCGGGTACTGAAGTACCTTAAAGTACTTTTAGGTACGTATAAGGTACTCGGGCGGGTACCGAATCTCCATCAGACCACTTCAGGGTAGTCCTCTCTCAATTTACGATCGAGGTCGGCATGTTCTCGACTAATAAATAGTCAAGAAATAATCTAGAGAAAATTAGTATGAAAATATATTATTTTCTTATGTTTTGTGGAGTTATTTATATAGAGCCGTGTATGCAAAAGAAAAACGGTGAATAAACAGTCGCTACACAGAACGCGACAAATCTAGGATACCCTATAGAGCTTTCCTCAATAAAATTACAGATGCTGGTACCCATACAAGTACTTGTTCAGTAAACATACTGCTATGGGTACCCAATGCAGTACCTACATTAGTATAATTACCAAGAATTTTCGAAGTACCCATATCGGGTACCTTGCTGAGGCTTTCTCAGTACATGGGTACCTTGATCTCAGTACTTTCTCTAGGGGGGTCCTTTGTCATGACAATGTGCATATAACGATGATTTTCATGAATGAATAAAATATTTGATTGGGTATATCACCGGCTATTCGTATTTACTCAGGAGCTTAAGGAAGATGGCACGCTTTTTAAAATCTAGACAGCATTATTTCTCAGATCAATTATAATACCAAAGCCATACATTTGAGGTAGCCGAAATGTCAGCAAACTCTTGAGATCGGACGACACAGAAAATCACAGAGAGGTCTTTCAGCGAAAATAGACTGATAAAACGTGGATTCATCGATCAACAGCAGCGATCACGGGTATATTAAAAACAAAATACATCTAATCTCTGCTTTTCTTTTTTGTTCTGTTTTTCTTTTGGTTAATAACACGACAAACGTTTAAACAGCTCGACTTTCCTGTCCTAATTCTTTCAAGATTCTTGTTTCTTATCGGTTTAAATATACCGTGCAAACAGTACGAGGAAGCCCGTGGTTCTCTTTTTCGGGACAAAACGGGCTGGAGACAAAATATAACGGGCCTGACAAACATGCATGCTCATTAATGTCCATTCTAATTGTGAAACCCGAACCGCAGTTCCGTTTCATTGTGCTAGCCGACAACTGAATATCGTTAGTGTTTATCCACAATGTAGCTAAGAGTAAGATGAAATTATAAACAAAAAAGTGCTTCCGGTTGGTCTTTTTGAAGCAAACAATCGAACTTAAAGCATTTTTTGATGGGATACCCACCTGTTTTGCTTCTTGTAATAAGAGTGACAAGCAATCTTGTGAGAATTCAGTGCAAAGAAATTTCGTCTTAACATATAAATCTTCTACATGTTTGATTTCTTTTCTTTCTTATCTTCTTCTTTTATAACAAGCACGAATTTGAAAAGAACGAACGAAAACTGAAAACATTATACCTAAAACTTTGTCGGATAAGTCTGAGATAATCGATCTTTTATCTTTGTATGGATTTGGCCCCAACAGGACCTTTGCCTGCACCTTTGCCAACAAAGTGACAACAGAGACAAGGAAATCACTAAACGTTTTCTTGACCTTGATGAGTACGATCTGTAAAGAGCTATCGTGAGTTAGAATGAGATACAGTAGCGCAGTTGCTGATGGCGGGAGCAGGCCAAGGCAAGAAGGGAAACGACGAGTGTGAATAGATCCATGGAGCAAAACAGCTTGTATATAGGTAAAGTGATTTTGTCTATTTGAGTTTCGCA